TGGGTTCTGTGGAGACAGAGCAAGAATCTCCTACCCTGTGGCTCTCATGGCTCCTTCCGACCTAGGCATGGCATGCCGAGTGCCGAGAACGCATTTTGATGGAGAGTTACAGGCTGCACATTTTAGGAGTGGAGCTCTCTGAGAGCAGGGTAGGGATGCTCTGGGCACTTTTGTGGGCTTACTAGACCCTCTGTGTCTGTCAACTGCTGCCCCCAGTCACCAAAGCCAGCCTCTGTTAGAGGACACCATACCTCACCATCCAGCCCCTCATTCAGCCAGTGCCAGGGCCACTGTGCCAGGGGGCTGTGCTCAGTTCTGGGACGAGAGAGAAGTATGACAGACAGCACTGCCCTAGTGGGGTAGCCCCACACAACCCCTATGTAAACAAGCAGATGACACCATTGCAACATTTAAGCTCAGACCCAGCAGGTGAGCAGGTGCTGGAGGAAGAGCCTTCCAGAAGGTGGGCACTGCAAGGGCACAGTCTGGAGGAGGGAGATAATTGATACCCCAGGGGTTGGGAATGCACTCTGGAGGGCATGAAGGGGCCATTAGCAGGGGTGGGGGGGGGAGGTGGTGTGCAGGGTGATAGCAGGCTTAGGCGCCCCCCAGGGCTTCCCAGGCAAAGGTAAAGAGTGTGGAGTTAGAATGTTCTCAGTTTGATGGAAGGCCACAGGAGAGCTTTAAACAGAAGTGACACACTCTCATTGACATTTGAGAGAGATCAGTCTGACTGTCATGCAGAGAGAGGCAGAGCAAGTGAGGGGCAGCAGGAGGCCAGTGGGAGGTCAGGCCACTGTCTGGGTGAGAGATGAAGGGGAGAGGATGGTGGTTCTGGAGGCAAGAGGAGGCGGCCTCTCCCAGGGACGTTTAGCAGAGCGAGTGATGGACAGCAGAGAGGAGAGAGCTGCAGCTTAGCTTTCTGCACTCAAGAGGCGGGGATCATGCACCCCCAGCCATCACCACTGTTGCACAACCAACTGGCCTTTGTTCTTCTCAGGCAGGTGGCTTCTGTGCACTGAGCAGGTCTGATGGGCCATTAGAGGGAGGCGGTGCAGACCACCAGCCTGGCCTTCTCACTGGCTGGCTCACTTTGGGCAGGGCCTTCCCCTCTCAGCATCTTTTGGGGCAGTGGGGATGGGAAGGGTCTCTGAGCGGGCCCCTATGCCTTCACCTCTCTCCACAGACTCGCCTGCAGGCCGGCGCCGGCTATGGGGGCACCCTCAGCTGCATCCGCACCGTGTACAGGACGGAGAGCGTAAGTGCCCTGGCGTGTGTGGGTGGGGGGATGGTGGCCACCTGGGCTCTCGGTGGCCTGGGGACGGTGGCCACTGCCTCACACCAGCATGTGGGGTGGAGGTGGGGTGCTCATTCCCACTCATCCCCTTCAGCTTGATTTTCCACGCTCATCTCACATCATACCTCAAATGTTATGTGTTACCTCAACTTACCCCTGCCACCTGGTGCAACACTACTGAGGAAAAAGCCTGGTTTTGTGTAACCTCTCTGGAGGAATCCTGAGGAATTTAGAACCACAGTGTGGAAAATTCCTGCAAAAACAAGGTGACCTGTCGGTTTTTCGGAATGAAACGAGTGGCGGAAAACCCCACGCCAGCAAGCTCCCTGTCTGCAGGGGTGGCGGGAGCCAGCAGCTTCTGCATCCAGGTGCCACAGCCCACCTGCCCCACAGGTTGCCTGAGACAATGCGACATGAGGTGTTTCGTTTCAAAGGGGAAAATTGAATAATGTTTGTAGAAGATGCATCAGGCTAATTCTTGAGAATTGGCGTGTGCTTTGGGAAGACTTTCTAAGGCCCCACTTGGGGAATTTAAAACAAATTTTAAAATTTAGGATGGAATTTAAAGAATTCATCAGGTGGTGGCTCTGTGGTTTCCCTTGAGTCACTGGAAATGTGGCCCCATTGTGACTGTAGTCTCCACCAGCTCCATCATATCAAGTGCCCTGGGGCTGGGAACCCCCTGGAGCACTTTGAGTTTTCCAGAGATGAAGTGCATCTTGCATTGGGTGTTATTTTAACCCTCTTGATTGGCTGCTGTAAAATCACAGCCAGCATTGCAAACCCAGTACTTGGTGTTCTGGAGTAATGTGCAATTCTTTCTTCAGTCCCCTGAAAGGTGGCTGTTGAGTCTCCTTTTTGGCACTTGTTCCTTGCAGCATCTGCCAGCTCACGTCCCAGCTCTGGGGTTTGGTGGGGACTACAGGTGATTTCTCTGAAACACAGCAGCTCATGGCTGAGCAGTGTCCAAAGTTATCTGGAGGACCTTGTTATGGAGGAGGAAGCTGAAGCGGAATGTGCGCATGTTGTGTATATGTGCACCTCACATGAGGTGTCCTGTCTCCAGCAATCAGGGTGCAGCGCACATGGTTAGGATCGGCAGGTTTTTGCACAGCGTGGAGTCTGTGCAATGGTTTCCTGGCACTTTTCCATCTTTTGCATGTGTATGTTGCCCTGACTCCTCCAAGGGCCTGCAGAATTTTGCAGTTTTCCTTGGAGCATCTCTGGTGTTCGTTGCGAATGCAGTAGAGGACCTTGAGGCCAGTCTGCAGCAAACTCTCCTTAGCCTCCTGCATCCTGTGTGTGCATAAGTTCCTTCCAGTGTTCTTTGGGGTCTACTTTCCAGCCACTTCTGTCAGGAGGCACCCATGCTCATCAAGGCTTGGCAGATCGTATTGTCATCACTTGTCAGTTCATTGGTCTGTGTCTCCCCACCCCCTGCCCTGCCCCTAGACTGTGAGCTCTGTAAGGGTGGACTTTTTTTCTTACTGTTGCCCCCCAGGGCAGGCACATGGCAGGTATCTGGAGAATGCTTTTGTTTGGTGGCAAATGAGGAGGGGTGTGCAGTGCTTGGCAAGCGCACTGCCCCTTAGGGCACTTCACTGACATATTGGCTTATTTATCCTCTGGTGTGTCCCACCAGCCTGCAGCTTCACACCTCTTCCCCCGGGTTTCACCACAGGTGTTCGGCTTCTTCAAGGGCATGTCCTTCCCTCTCGCCAGCATCGCCGTCTACAACTCAGTGGTGTTTGGGGTCTTCAGTAACACGCAGAGGTTCCTCAGCCTGCACCGTGGCAGGGAGCCCGAGGCCAGCCCTTCCCGCACGCTGTCTGACCTGCTCCTGGCCAGCATGGTGGCTGGCGTGGTCTCTGTTGGGCTTGGTGGACCAGTGGACCTCATCAAGATCCGGCTGCAGATGCAAACACAGCCATCTCTGGAAGGTAAAAGGCCAGGGGAGAGGAGCCTGGTGTCTGGGGACCTTTGAATCTTTCCCAGTTTGTGGATCTGGGATGTGGTCATTAACATTCTTGTTATTGAGCAAGGCATCTGTGTTGTCACATAATAGTCTGTCATTATTAACATTTTATCTGTAGTAGTAACTATCACCAGTTAAGTATTGTTAACCTGCTAAGAGCAGTTTCTCTTAATTCATCTTCATACAATTTTGTGAGGCAGGTGCTGTTATTATGTCCATTTTACAGATGAGAAAACTGAAGCTCCATATGTCAAGAACACACAATTAGTGATTGGCAAGGGAGGACCAGCTACATAATTTGCAACCCCCAATGCAAAATGCAAATGTGGGGGCCCCTCATTCAAAAATGATTAAGAATTTCACAGTGGCAACAGCAGAGGCTTACCCAAGCATGGCGTGACTGCACGGGTCTCATCCCCACGAAGCCGGCCCTGGGCAGAGTTGGGACTGACATCCACATCGGTCTTATTCCAACACCTACATCCTGTACACCTGCCGCTCCTCTCCTCACCCTCGCCTGCTCCTCTGCCCTTGACCTTCCTGTTGGAGCTTCATATCTTGGTGTGCTGTGCAGCTACTCCTACACCACAAGCTGCATCTCTCATTTCCTCCTCTCTGGGAAAGACTTTTCTGTGTCTTTCCCTGGGAATGGCTTTGATAAAGGAGGATGGAAAGAATGGAAAGGCACTAGCTGTGCAGAGTAGAGAGGGACAGCTCTCGGGGAAGGACAAATGGGACGTCGTAGAAGACATATTTTAGTAACTCGGGGTTTGGCTCTTGGCACTAGCTCTAATTTCACAGTCTCCTCAGGCAAGATAGTGTCCCTTCCCGGGCCTCGGTCTCCTTTACTGTAAAACGGAAGGGCTAGATCCACGGTCCCTTCTGTCACCATGTGGATAAGTCCCCTCTCTCTGGTAGCCTCCTGAGTGTCTTCCATGTGACCCTTCTGCCCATAGAGGCTGGGGTTCAGCTGTGCCTCACAGCCAGAACCCCAAAAGCTTACTCAAGAGCATCCTGGCCCAGCACCCCCAACCCCCAGCCAGGCAGTGTACAGGACAGGCCCGCACACCCTCTGAGCATGGTGCTGGTGCTTCCCACCTGCGCGGACAGCGGGCCTGGGGCCCTGCTGCCTGAGGACGTGTGTCTTATGCCCCAAGGCCCACAGTCACTATCAGCATGTGGGTAAGTGCAGGATGACGATCGAGAACACCAGGGGGACACAGGGCAGGGATCCCCATCTTCATCCACCTGACATACTGAGTTCTGTCTTGGTACGATTTAGTTCGATCAAGGGGTTGCACCTCTGAAAAATGTTCGGTTCTGTCCCAGAGGCACATGCAGAGGTGCAAAGGCATGAGGGTGTCGTGATCGGGCTTGGAACCCAGGCATCCTGGCCACGTGCTGGCTATTTGCTCTGTCCTGTCTACGACAGGAAAACTTTTCTTAGTCTCAGGTGCAGAGGAAACCTTGCCAGAAGTTTTAAAACTCTTTGGAGTTCAGATGTTGGAAGAGGCTCAGTGAGGAGTCTGCTGGGCTCCTGGGGGCAGCCTTGCTCCTTCACTGCCGGGTGCCATGTCCCTGGAAGGGGAGGAGACAGGGGTGGGCATGTGTATATGCCAGCCAGGACACCAAGGCAGGTGTTTCTCAAGAAATGCCCTCTTGAAAGCCTGAGACACTGGAGGCGAATGACTGGGTGAGCTTTCCTGACAGTGTTTGGCTCCTCCTCTGTCCTGCCCTCCTCCACCCCACCTTGCCTGTAGAAAATGCTGGAATGCTGGCTGGCCAGGGTCTGAGGGGGTGCTGAGGCCAGGCCAGAAGCCTCTGGAGACTGGAAGATGGGTGGGAGGCAGCTGGGGAGAAGCTAGACCCAGGAAGTTCCCCAAGAAAGGGTGCGTGGCTCCTGGCCAATTTTAGGGAGCTGAGCAGCCACGTTAGAAGCTGCTGATGTCATTAGGCACTCACCGTGCACCAGACACTGTGTTACGTGCTGCACATACATCGTCTTATTTAACATCCGCCATGAGAGTGTGAAGTAGGTATGGTTGTTATCCCTGTTCATTTATCCAGCAAACAATAGTTGTGCACCCACTGTGTGCCAGGTACAGGGCTAGTTGCTAGTGATACAGTGGAACTCAGAGACTCCATCCTGTCCCACTTATATTGCTACATCTGGCAAAGAGGCAGATAGGAATTTGGTGGGAGGAGTGGAACAGGCTCTCAGCCAGGCTGTGGTCAGGAAAGTCTTCAGAGCAGGGTGGGAGGAAGGCCTGAAGGTCAGGGCCATGCAGCTGATCAGGGTAGCACCAAGGGTCACCCAGGTCTGCCTCACCTGGGGCATGGGAGCCTGGTGCATGGCCCACCTGGAATGGGCCCTTCAGGTCTGCTTATCTGGGAAACCAAACTCTTTTAGGGCCCTGTCTCTTGGGGTCCTGTCTCCTGGGTAAGCCCTCTGAGCAGTGAAAACACAGGGGCCCTGTGCCTCCCCCTACCCACCCCTCCTTGGGAGGCACTGACAGCCCCTCAGGAGGGCTGGGATTCCCTGACCCAACTCCTGTGTGGGAACCAGCCCACAGGTTGTCAGTTCAGCTGTGGTGCCGGATGAAATCTATTCTCTTAAATAAACCCCTTGAGGCAGCAACAGAAAATAAACATGTGTTCTGTCCTCCCAGTATGCCAGGAGACTGGCCTTCCAGGAGCACAGAGAAGGCTCTTAGTAAGAGGCCATGGGAGATTCCTGCAGACAAGTGTTTCTCAGCCCTGCAAAGCTCTGAGAAATTAGTGCCTGGGCCCAGGGCTTAGCTGGCAGTACAGAGACAAAGACGATTCATCTGAGTGAGTGGAAGGAAGGTAGGAACCAGTATTGGAGGACCCACCTCAGCCATGCCCCACAAGCCTCTGTGATCTGGGTGGAGTCAGAACGGTCGCAGCAGTGGGGCATGAGCAGCCAGTGATTACTGATTACTGTTTACTGATTATATGCCAGACACTGTGCTAGGAGCTTGGCTGTGTGTTTAGTCTTCACAACACCCCAATTCCTGGGCATTTACAATGGGGAGCCTGGGGCTCAGAGAGGTTCTGTAACCTGAGGTCACTCCTCTAGTGGGAGGTGGAGTGCAGGTGTGGATCTAGGAGGTCTGACTTAGAGCTTACTGATGCTGTTTCTACTTCTGCTCCAGAATTTTGTAGAAGCTGAGGCTACAGCAACTTTGGTAGCACTGGGCCGCCAAGGCCTTTGCACAAAATCGTCATGCATGAAAACAGCTTCAGACTGTAGGGGGAAGTGGGGTGGAAGCATGTCTCTAAAATGATGCTGTTCAAGTAAAGGGTGCAGCTCGTGGGCTCCAAGGGATGGGTCTGAATTACGTGGGTTTGGGCTGCCCCTCTCTGCATGGTCTACTCTTCCTTCCCTCCCATCCCAGCTGCTTGGGGGGGAGGTCTTTGGTGACTACAGGTGCTGGGCAGGACCAGCTGCTGGCGAAGAGGTGCGGAGGCAGACAAAGGGTCTCCAGGCAGTATTTTCTGCTGGGAATCTCTCCAGAAAATCAGAGGGAATATGGTTGTCTTTCACTTGTTCCCCAGGAACTCTCCAGGCCAGAGGTAGAATGCTGAGAGATTCACGGGACAGGGAAGTGATGTGAGTGAGCAGAAGTGCCTGGGAAGTGAAACCTCTCCCATTCTTCTTGAGACCACAGCCCTCATAACCAATGTTTCATTATTCCTCTTTTGACTGAAACATGGATATGGACCATATTTCACCATCTGCATCACTCTGCCATTGGAAAAGCAGCAGTTCAAGCACCATGCCTCAGCTTCGGGCTCTGGGAGGCAGTTGAGAATGGTGGGGACTGTGGCAAGCAGGGCCCATATCCTGTCCAAGGGGGTGGCCCCAACCCTGCTGCAGCCGACTGTTTCCACATGGCCAGATGTGCTTGGATCCTCTGATTTTTAAGAGAAGGCAGAAAGCTAGATTTTTCTGTGAGATACTTCAGTTGGAAATCGTGTGGCAATTCAATTAAAAAACAAAAATACACACAAACAAAACACTGTGTAGCCCAAAGCTGTGTGGACTGGATGGAATGGGGCTGGGGCTGGCTGCAAGCATTTGTCTCTGCTGTGGGTCAGGCCCACCCTGTGTGGTGACTGGGCTGACCTAGGCACTTCTAGCAGCCTTGGGCAGGGCTTGGAGGATTGTTTGTGCCTTGTGGTTTTACTCCAGAATTGCCAGTTCCCTTCCAGGGTAATGACCATGTGATGTGAGGCACAGTGCCAATATACGGAAGCCAGGTGCCAGAAACCTCTGGCTTCTCTGCTTTGGGACATATGACAGATGGGCTGGATGCCATGTTGAGGTTAGAGCCCAGCTCTTCTGGTTGGGGAACTGGCAAATATAGAGCCAGTGAGTTCCTCCTGATTGTCTAATAGTAGTAACCCGTGGTTGAAAATTTACAATCTACAGAGCATTGAAAGGAGAGAGAAAATGCCATCCACCCAAATACAACCACTGTTAACACGTTAATGTTTCCTTTTCCTATTCTATATACATATGTAAAGATTGTAAGAGGTTGTACTCAAGCTATATAATTTCATATCTCTTTCTAACTTAACATTGTAACGCTTTATGCATTACTGAAATAGCATACGAAACTGTTTAAAATAGATGGATAATATTTAAAATGGATGTGCAATATTCCATTAAACACACACACACACATTGAGAGGGTCAATATAGTATGGTAAAAATGTAGTTTCTGAAGTTAGACTATCTGCTTCTAATCCCACCTCCACCAAAGCTGAGAAACTTTGGACAATGCACCTAATGTTGCCAAGCCTCAGTTTACTCATCTGTGAAACAGACATAGTGACAATAGGAACTTCTTAGCTGGAAGAGAATGGGCTGATATATTATACGTGAAGATCTTAGCACAATGGCAAATTGAAGACATAAAATAGATGTTAGCTATACTA